CAACAGCTTGTGTATGTGGAAAGTACTCTGGGGGGAGTACCAACGTCAACAGCTCATGTATGTGGAAAGTACTCTGGGGGGAGTACCAACGTCAACAGATCGTGTATGTGGAAAGTACTCTGGGGGGAGTACCAACATCAACAGCTCGTGTATGTGGGAAGTACTCTGGGGGAGTACCAACGTCAACAGCTCGTGTATGTGGAAATTACTCAGGGGGGAGTACCAACGTCAACAGCTCATATATGTGGAAAGTACTCTGGGAGTACCAACGTTGACTAGTGAAAGGACACTAAACCCAACGACCCGCCATGAATACTGGGAGATACTAACGCCCGTGACACGTAGGTGAAAGAGAAAGAGATAAACTTACCTGGAGTGACAAAATGTACAAGTGAAGATATCTTGTAACATAGTCCTGGATGCCTAGTGTATATACCAGTAGTTGTGTTATGAGTATGGATTGGAAACATAATCAATGTAACCTGGTGATATGATCAGTGTTCTATGTGTAAATGTGGTTTTATGTTTACAAGTTTTGACCAATAAATCATTGCGACCACGTCATTTGGCTATCGTTCCTACCAAATTTCTTCATGGCGATTAAACTAAAGAAAAACACTCAAAATAAAGAAGCGTCAGCGTTCTTTACATTTACCCACTTGATCTTCATGGACCCTAAACACGAAAGGGTTGTACAGTGACCCCTCGTTTAACGAATGCCTCGGTTAACGAAATTCGGTTAACGAATTTCTTACGAACCGACCTCAACATGTTTTCGCTTGCACTGACCGGGCAACCAGCTTTAGTATCAGTCCGCCAATACATTAATCGGTTCTAGGGCTTAAATTCCTTACTATTTTAGTAAATATCAAGAAGTTTATACTATTCAATAATTTTAAAAGTTTAATATTCAATTTTTTAGTCATTTTAACAATTATTGAACATAATTGAAGGTAAAGTGACTAGTTTAATGCGCGGCATCCAGCCTCTTAACACAACAAACGGTCGTTAGTCTCTCTCTGTTTTCACTGGAGGTAACATCTTGCTTGAGACTCTCTTCAACTAAACGCTTTTTTTCTGTGTTTCCAAGCAAATTATTGGTCATTTTGAAATATATTTTACATTGACAATATATAATGCAGTGCAGTGTTGATTTAAAGAAAATAATCTTGAAATACACCAAGAGAACTAAAATTTTATGGGTGAAATGGTGCCATGGGGTGACTTCTCTTCCACCCCAATGCCTTCTCTTCTTCCTTCTCCTCCACCCTCATTCTAATTCCCATCATCATCATCCAGGAGCCTTCTACATACACACCTCAAAGTAAGTGAACTTTTCTACCATTTTTGTTGAATTTAGGCAATTTTTCGGTGAGCTGGAACCAATTACCCAAAAACCCATTGAAACAATGGTTTCGGTTAACGAACTTTTCGGTTAACGAACGACCTTCTGGAACGGATTCAGTTCGTTAACCGAAGGGTCACTGTAATACATTACCATAACTCATTCAGTAACCAGAATCTTTCTTACCTGGAAACTATTCCTTGCAAAGAATCTCAAAGCAATCATCAGCTGATGAATGGGAGGTAGAGGTGAACTATAGCCAACAGGTCTGTCAAGTAGATGCTCCATATCATGGAAAATATCAGGGAAATCTCCCTTGCTGAACCTATATCGTTGTCTAAGTTATGTCATCATAAAAATTGGTAGGATTCTGTCTATCTACCATCAGTCTTTTCTCTACAAAATTTCCAATTTGACAAAATCGCCAAAAAATGTGCTGTCAAAATTCATGTTGACATGCTGTCTTGAATGACGGATTGACTGCTAAACCTGTCTCCAGGTTGGATTAACGCGAGGATCGACAAATCCGATCTCAAACCCGGTTTGAATCTTTGTGTTGGCTCAAGCCAGCGTTTTGAATACTGTACAAACAATCTTCAATCTTCACTCGATCCTTGGTTTAAATCTTCATGCGGTTTTAAACCAGCATTCTGAATTCAGGCCGTATGGTTTTAGTAGAAACTAAACAGTAAGTGTTAAAAAATGAGTTTTAGCAACTTATGATATCCAAAATATTACCAGTATGGGAACACAAATTACATAAACGAAGTGTCTCTCCCACCACTTACAGATGCTGTATAATATTAAATTAAAAAAAAATAAATAAAAGGATTCAACAAGTGTCCTTAGAAACCCAATACAAATGGTACCAAGACTTATGAACACCCTGTACTGTATATAATACTGTATATCAATAGTACAACTGTACACGTTAGCTAAAACCTCAGTACATTACTGTATACAATACCTCTTGTAGTACTTTAGATGCTACCTGGAAGATGGAACACTAAGAAACTGCTCTAGAAGAGGTTCATATCTTGGTTCCAATTGATATGAGTTTGTGACAGCACTATACAGCATATTTCATACTTGTGACCAGTGTATAATGGCTCTTAGTATCAACAGTAAGCACCTATAATGATACTGTATGCTTGATTAATGTATTCAACCATTTTACTGTACAGGTTGTACCTCTGTAGTCCGGCATTCTGTGGTCCGGAAACTCCCGTGGTCCGAAACGATTTTAGTTTGCCCATGGAGAAAATTAATTTGAGTCTGATACTTTCGATGTTTGGCAAAATTTTGCCTTATTTACCAGACTATTTTGGCGAATTACTACCTGTAATAAAGCAACATCCTAATAAACCAACAAAAATAACACAGATAAAATTAAATAAAAACTAAAAACAACTCAGAAAAGTTCTTATGCTCTACACCTTCAGCTAGAGTTGAGCATACGTCATCCAAGTAAAAACACACACAACAACATTGGCTGTCCTTATGTTTTCAACTTTACCACCACTGGTGGGTAGAATTTTTGTTTTAAATTCAGAAACATTAATTAAAATATATATATGAACAGTAAATAAGTGTTACTTTCATATTCTTAGGTATAGTAATGGCGATATGTTTTCACATGTGCGCACTTACATACGTGAGCTCACTTTTTTCTTTACAATTAATGGTTAGCTACTTATATTGTTCCATTTATTAACATTAAATAACATTACTTAAAACAACCATATTAATTTTTTACATTAATTTTACAACAGCTACAACCAGGGTCTTATTTGCTTCAGTTTTATATGTAGATCCAGTCAGTCACTGGTTTTGTAATCAACGAAAACAATCCTCTCTCGTCTCCTCGTGTGTTTTAATATTCTACTTATTATTAATGAATTGTATTGTTCATTTTGCACACATAAGAATTAATTAAATCAAAAAGACATTCAGTAATAAACAATAATGAATCTTTTGTACATAAGAGAAATGACACTGTTTACACGATTTGTGCACGTCTGAATGTTGGCGGGCTGCTGAAACCCGTCAAAATTCGAGTTTCCGCCGTCAAAATTTTAAATTGCATAGTGGTTTTTTTGTGTCCAAATAAAAAAGTTGAATTAAAAACTCCCAAAATTTGAGAACCTACTGTAGTGATGGGTTGTCAGACCACAGCTTACATCTCAGAAACAGTCCAGACTTGACCCGACATTAGGGAGGTCATGTGTAGGGTAACTCTAGCGGCTGACCAAGGGTTATAAATCAGCCAGGCTCCCCTTCCCATGTCACACGGGCCCAACAAACATGTAAGAAGGCACCTGCCCACTCTCTCCCAATATACACAATAACCTACATCCCAGAAGAAGTCCAGATCTGACCTCACATTAGCCAGGTCAAATGTAACCCTCACAACCCAAGTCAAGGGGCCACAAATCAACCAGGGCCTCTCATGTCACACGGCCCCACCTGATGATTTCTCCAGAATATACAACTTATAGTCTCTGAAAAAGTCCAGACCTGACCCTACATTAGCGAGGGCAAATGTAAGGAGACCCTTCGCCGCCCCCCCGATCAGCTCAACCTGACGGCTCGCCTCCCAATATATAGGACGTCCGAGTCCTCCCTCGCCCCAGAGAGAGAGAGAGAGAGTGTGTGTCTTGTAACCAAGAAGGGCCAGCTACCACGTCCCGAGTCCCGCTCGTAGCCCTCCCTCAGGGGAGCGGCGAGAGGGATTCAGACACAGACACACACAGGGATCGGAGGAGGAGGTCCACCACAGCTGAGTCCCGCTCACGGGAGGAGAGTCATGCAGGATTTCCCTCCCCGACTTCCCTCCGGTGTCCCAGCTAAGCAGTCGCCCTCCCGACACCAGTGTTCCAGCTAAGCAGTCTCCCTGCTAGGCCTTCCCCAGGTCACGTGAGTTTTTGTCAGAGCTTTCCATGGGACGAGTTACTTACGTGGGAAGTGTATTCATTTCATGTTCGTGTCCGAGAATCAGAGTGTCTAGTAACGTAATATGATGTCCTAGTAACGTAAATATAATGTCCTAGTAACTTCAATAGAAGGTGTTATTAATGTGTCCATGTCATTGTCGTAATTAATAAAGAGTTGTAACGAAGCGGTGTTTGAGAAGTCGCCCTTAAGACGTAATAGATGTGTATTGACGTATAAGATACGATAAGTGTAAATATCTATCACGGCCACGCTACCAAAGTCTTCCTCTCTTTTATGCTCTTATACTATCAATATTCTACCTATATGTAATCTTCTTGTGAGATTTGTCTCATTACACTACTGTACAACATTTAACCCTTCAATATATCTTCAAAGAGACCACGAAGCAGTGAAAGTGGTGCTAGTGCTTCCAAGCGTAAGCACAAGTCACTATCTATCCAGGAAAAGGGTGAATTTCCATGGTCCGGCACCGGTCAGGTCCCGAGGTTGTCGGACTAGAGAGGTACAACCTGTACTGTGTAAATAATTTTTTATTTATTTTTTAATCGTGGACATAAAATTGTGTGGTTGTAGGGGTAATCATTTGTAAGTCCTTTTTTAGAAGCGGCTGAAAATTTATTCAATGTATTCAAATTTTTGGGTAGTGTAATACAGTACTGTGATGAAGAGTGCACTAACTTTCCTTACTTTGTTTTTGCAGATCCCTGGGAGTTGGAACAAAGATAGGCTACAAGTTATTTTCTCTTAATACTGTTGATAAAGTTGAACAAATATGTGATAATGGTAAGTGTTCTTTAACTACTGTAATGGTTTATGAACAAGAATTTTACCGTACTGATAGATTATATCAGTGGTGAAGACTGACCTGTTTATCTCTGGTGGAATAATATTGTCATATGTGTATGGTAGTTTCATAATACAGGCATCCCTCTCGCTACGGAAGCCGGGTTACTGAATTTCGCTCTTATGGAATTTGTAATTATGACCAATAAGTTGGCGTCAGAACCGCATCTTACGGAAGGTAATTTTAACAATTAAAAAAAGTCACTATAAAATAATTTTTTGTTAAAAATTATAATTTGTTTGGTGTGGATTTCTTGGTGTTTGCTACCTCCATGGCGTCGCCACGTGGAGTCAGTCCATTGTTTACATCCAGTGTGCGCGCATGTGATTTGGCGTTCCAATAAGAAGGCTTGGATGACTATGACCCTTTTCCAAGACTGGTTCACTAACTATTTTTGCCCTGCTGTAGAAAGATATAATGCCAGGCGTAACATATCTAATAAAGCATTGCTCCTCTTAGACAATGCACCAAGCCACCCAGTAAATTTAAATGATCTTTCTGATAATGAGTGGAGTACATCCCCAAGAACACAACTTCCTTGCTCCAGCCAATGGATCAAGGTGTGATAGCTAACTTAAGGCATATTATCTTTGGAAAACTTGCAGCTTATAAAAGCAATTGATGGGGAGGATAAACCTACAATTAGGGACTTCAAAAGTTCAACATCTTGATGCTGTGGATAATATAGCCGAGTCATGGATGAAGTGAAAACCTCGCTATGAATGGTTCATGAAAACATATGGCCAGAGGTGTCCATGAATTTCACGGTTTTTTACACAAAAGTCTACAGCAAGCTCAACAAGACATTGTGACACTTGGAAATAATGTAGGCTTTGAAGAAGTCGTGGAAAATGATGTGGTGAGTTGCTAGTCCCATAGAGAAGATTTGACTAATGAAGATCTGATGATGCTGAACAAGAGCGAGCTGCAGGACAGGAAGAGGATATAGATTCACCCACCCCACTTCAGTTGACAACAAAGGATATGTCTAAAGCGTTTGCACTAATACAGGAAGGTCTGCAAATCTTTGCTGGTAACCACTTCAACCGTGAAAGGAACATCAAGATTGCAAGAGCAGTTAACAATGCTCTCAGTTCCTCACTGAGCTGTACAAGAGAAGGTGCGCTGTGAACGTCAAACAACTTTGGATGAGTTATTCATCCTCAGAGAAAAGCTGAAAGCAGATGATGATTTACAGGCAAAGGCAGAAGAGAGTATTGCCTCCTCTCCCTCCAAATAACTTCCTTTGCACCACCAATCCTCACGCAGCAGTCAACATCTTTTTGGTAAGTTCAGTACAATATTTTATTTATTCCAACTGTATTTCTCTTCATATTACATGTATATCATGAATTATTTAATGTACTGTATTGTATGTGTTTATAAATGTTTATTTTCATTCATAAAAGTGCTTGAATTATTTTTGGGGCCTAAAAAATCTGTGAGAACGCATCTCCAGTTTTATAATGGAAGTCAATGGGAAAATAGGTTTCAGGTTATGAATTTTGCGATACGTCAATTTTCCAGGAACGGAACCCTTCCGTAACGCTGGGGATGCCTGTACTCACCCCACGTATTTAAATGTTGAATACCTGCCCAGTCTGTAGCCCATTGTATGTAGTACAATATTTATATAATCCTTATAAAGTCTGTCCATTCCAGGGCCCAAAGCCATAAAATACAGATATTGTACTGTTTCCTGGTTCATGTGCCCTAAGAATAAAGAGAAATACTGTATTCAGTAATTATTTAGGTAGACTACAGTATTTCAGATTATTTTTGTAAAAGAATGGTGTTTCTAACTTATGGTAATTACAACTGTTTTTATGGACTGCAGTATAAACATTATATTTTTTTCAGAATATTTTGTGAAAGGATATTTAATTGAAACAACCTTGCAGAGAATTTATTCAGGATCTTCATGGTAGCAAATTCATCTTTCGAACACAATTAGAACAGTTGCTGTGGATAAAAGTTTATGCACTATCACTAGCGGTAAATAGTTTGACTCATGGCCTCGACCTAATATAATTGGAGTGATAAGAGAAATCTACAAGGGAGAAGAGTGTATCACATTATTACTACACTGTATTGTGCCTGTTTATAAAATACTGTACTGTATAGCAATACCCCAATTAGTGCTCAGGATACATTCCTGGAAAATGGAGTGCTATCCAAAACCTTACAGGGACCCTAAACAATTACAGTATACAGTAGATGTATGGAGGTACTGTCCTGACAACATTATATTTTACCTATGAGATACATTGTATAATACAGTCTCTCCTCGACTTATGACGGGGTTCCGTCCCGACGACCAGGTCATAAGTCAAATTGGTCGTAAGTCAAAAAGGCGAAAATAATACATAGAAATTCTAAAATGGGTGTCTCTTGTTCTTCTCAGCACCACGAGAACTCTCACTTTTGCGCTTGCCAACCATTTTAAAGGAATTACAAATGAAAATTTTGTCAGTACATTGCTGATCACTTACGCCGACTCGGAAATATGTAATGTGAAAAATATTTTATACGACAATGGCAGATGTCCGGGTCGTCGTAAGTCGAATATGTCATAAGTCGAGGAGAGACTATAGTATTTTATGTGAAGGGTAGAGGTATTAATAAACACAGATTACAGTAATGTATCTTTACTAATTAATAAACATCAAATAAACATTGTACTTTACTGTACAATATTTTATCTAATGACAGTGTGTCAGTGAGACACAGTGAGTGGGAAGCAAGAGGGAGGGTGGGAAGCAGTGGGTATTGTATGGATCTGCTCTGGCTGAAGCTAATCCGTCTCTGCATCACTGAAATTATGATTTAGGTGGTGATAATAGAGGTAGTGATTATGATGGAGGTGGTGGTGAGAGAGAGTGTTGTATGTGGTGAGGTGATGTGTCTATCGTTTTCTTTGATAACACTGGCTGCAGCACTGTCAGATGCTATTGAACAGCTGATGTGTAAATATAAATGAGCAACATTTTATCCCTTCAAAATTATCTTACAAAATATTTTAAATATGGAGTGGTAAAGCAGAAAGGTGTGGGTGATTAGAGATATGGAGTAAGGGGTGTAGATAATGAGTGTGTTGCTATGTTCTTCAGCTCACACCACACCCCCTACCACACATTGTGCTTCGGTTAACCACCCACAATTTTATGTCATACAATAAGATCTTCATTTAGTATAAAATTAAACACCTTCTGATTCATTCTGAATTCAAATTGTTTAATTAATTTGTGGAAAAAACATACAAATTAAACCAAAATATCAATTACAGGTATACCCTATAAACCGACGTTCCCTTAACTGCCGCTTTGCATAGCCGATGATTACACATTAGGGAAATACCTAGCAAGTTTGCTGACTACCCCGTTGATCAGATGATTGGAGGAGGTGCCAAGAGTGCTTTTGAGTTTGGCGTGTGATGTGCGAATTCTTGCCATAAGTACGATGCAAATTTATATTAAGTGAATTACAGTATACTGTAGTCTCGATTTACGCAGATTTGGTCATTTATGCGGCACCTTGCCAGACCGACTATTTTTATTTACAAGGTTCATTCCACCATTTACGGGCAGAGTGCACACAAGGTCGCCCAGCTGAAGATATTTGTTTTAGCTCAAATTCATAGAAATTACCCCGCCAGAATAAAATTTACATTGCTGAATTCTTATAAGATGGTGATTAATTTAAATATAAACATCCTAAAATTTGCATTAGACATACAAATTTTAGATCTAATTTAAGAATTTTATTAGAGAGCAAAAAATTTTATCTTTTGTGCAAAATATATGACGTTTATATTCAAATTATTCGCAGTCTTGCAAGGAATTCAGTACTGTCAATTATATTATCCTAACTTTAGTCTGAGGTATTATTTATTACTAAACCTGTAAGCCTAGTGTATTTCCCCAAACATTTCTCTGGTAGGGAGGGAAGGAAGGTTGGGGTAGGTAGGGAGAGAGGGAGGGACCCAGCGAGCGTGGGAAGAGGGGAGGAGCGGAGGTGGGGGTATTTTGATTGACAGATAGTGTCTAGGTAAAGTATAATTTGTTTATTTACTGAAGATATTTGTTTTTAGCTCATAAAATTCATAGAAATTACCCGGCCAGAATATATTTTACATTGCTGGAATTCTTATAAGATGGATGGTGATTAATTTAAATATAAACATCCTAAAATTTGCATTAGACTTACAAATTTTAGATCTAATTTAAGAATTTTATTAGAGAGGCAAAATTTTAAGTTTTGGCAAAAATATATGACGTTTATATTCAAATTATTCACAGTCTTGCAAGGAATCCAGCAATATCAATTATATTATCCTAAACATAGTGTGAGGTATTATTTATTACTAAACCTAAAACCTGGTGTTTTCACCCAAACATTTCTCAGGAAGGGAGGAGCCAGTGAGCGTGGGAAGGTGGTGGGGAGTTGAGTCCGTAATGAACTTGCGTATTGTGTCGGAAAAAGTGTAGTTTGGGGGTCGGCCCAGTCTCTATTTCAATTAATCCCATATGTTCTGTTATTTCGTTTACGCTTTTCTCATTTTACTCGGACCTCCACGGTTCAATTGACCGCGTAAATGAAGACTACTGTATCAAGATTCTACAGTGTATATATCTCTCTTCTCTTCTTGCTGACTTTGTGTGTTATGCAATCATGCCTAAACGCCCCAGCGATATTTATTCTTTTGTTAACCCATAAACGATGGCTAGCATTTTGAGTAGAGTATATATTGTCTTTAATGGGGATAGTGTAGTGGTCTAATCAGGCCTAATGAGGTACAGTACAGGTACAAACATGCAAGGATGGGGGGGAGGAGACTGGCTGTTGTCACAATTGCAAGTGTTTTTATTTATTTATTCTTTGTTTAACAGTACAGGAATACCTTGCTATTCACAATCTCGATAATTGCAACCCCTTATCC